ACATCTCATCAGATAGAGTTAGCAGGCTTCGAACCCGGTACCATCGGGATCCAACATTAGTTTCTCTGTTTTCGATTAAATGCACCTGGTGGATCTGAGTGCGCTTCTGATGTCCGCTCTATTTGTAAATACTTCGAGCCGCTGTTTGTTTTCTTTGACCTTTTCGCACAAACTGACTGAGACAAGCCGCTGAACTGTGCCTGAACATGCAATTTGAATAATTTTGTTGTTTTCGTTATACGCATATATATATATATATATATATATATATATATATATCCTTGTTAGTGTCGATTGCCTAAGGTGATTGACTGAAGCTCTCAAGGTAATCAGTACACCCATACAAGCCGAATTGCCATAGACACATAAGAGTTGGATTACAGAACAGACTGCTTGGCTAGATTGACCATTCTGTATGCACTTAACAATGGCTCTAAAGAAAAGTTAATGCGGTAATGACAAGCTTTAAAGTCACCTCGGTACACGGATCGCAAAAATGCGAATCATGCCTTTCGATGGACTGTCGCACATGGAGACGGTTCCACGTTGGCCGTATCATTTCCGTTTAGAAGGGGTCATCCCAAACGGAAGCATTGTAAGCTTGATGCGAACAGGTTAGCAGCCGCTCCGTCGACTCATTTTAACTACCAATTGTCATTGGCAAACACTTTAGCTTATACTCTATACACTGACTTCGAACTGCATCTGAATTTATTGCAGAATACGATGCTATCTTCTGGCCAATCAGTCGGTGGATTCATTCATCATCCCTCAAAGTGTTGCGTCTCCCAACACTCCCTGACACTGTCCGACCTTCGCTGAACTCTCCCACATAACTCCGATCAGCCGTCCACTCGGACGGTCTTCGCGGTAATCGTGAAGCTTGTTGGTCTCAACGCGCCTTGGAGATGGAAACTGCCGCCCTCTCTGCAAATGCTCGCAGGTTGTCTCAGCTCATTCGATCTGGCGGTCACAAAAAGTCGGGTGTTGGCGAGATTATCTGTGAAGCGGATTGGACACCAATTACCAACTTGCAAAGGCGCATAGACAGATGGGCTGAGCATTTCCAATTTCAGTTCACTTCTTCGCCGTTGTCCACTTTCGCACTCAGCTCGCCCCGTCATACACCATGGACCGTGTCTCTCGAACCACCCACTGAAGCCATAGTTCGCCTTGAGAGTAGACATTTGAAGCTGTTTAAGGCTACTGGTTCAGAAGAGTTTCCTCCAGAACTGTTCAAGTTTGGTTGTACCGAAATTGTCCTTCAGCTAACTTCCCTATTTCTGATGATCTGGAAAGGGTGTACTTTTCATAGGGAGCAACATTTATTGTCGCAGTCTTCAAGAAATGCTCCCGGACTTCATGTGCCCATCACAGAAGTATTAGCCTGATATTTGTTGCCTCTTAGTGTCTATCATGTTGCGCAGGCTGTAGCCAGCTCGCGAGGTGCACATCGAGAAAAGCAGGATGGTTTCCGTCCCATCCGAGCTTGTGTTGCTCGAAAATCCACGCCTCGTCAACTGCTCGAACATCTCCACTTGTACCACAGACGCACCATCGTCGTCCTTTTGGACATTCGGGCTGTATTCGGATTAATAAACCGACCTGCCTTATGGCATAGTCTACTACATGACAGAGTCCAGGAAAGGTACGTCGCTATTCTTCGGACTCTATACCTCCATACTTCAGGCAGAGTAAGGGCCTATGGCAAGCTCTCCACAGTCTGCCCTGTCACGAGGTGTGTGCAACAAGGATGCCTTATGTCTCCATATCTTTACAACATCACGATCGAAGATGTCTTGTTAGGAGCTCTAGAGAACATTCAGAATTCTGAAATTGAGCTCCTTCCAAGTAATCGTGCAACCGACATGAATTACACCGACGATATCGCCTTACTTGGTGACGGCCCTCATGGTATCCAATTGATCCTTGACCGTGTGATGGTTTAAGCTTCTAACTATGGTATGTGCTTTGCCTCCTCAACGTGTAAAGTGCTGGCGCAGGATTGACAGAATGCTCTCCCTCAGATCGCCATCGAAAAACACGGCTTGAGTAGGTGGGTAGTTTTTGCTTTGGGTGCGGTACAACTATTAGTGAGTAGGTATCTCTGTATCGCTAAAGCCCTCTCGGCCTTCGCCAATTTGAGACACTTGTGGCGTCCACAATGTCTCGCTTTTGCTAAAATGTCTGTCTTCGCGCGATACGTTTGTATCGATGGGAATCCTTGCCGATCGATGTAGGTGATATGCGTAGGCTTTCGGCCTTCGACAACGGCTGTTTGCGGAAGATCGTTCGTCAATGGTGATAATACCAGGTGCGCAACGATATCAGGCAACGCATCTATGGCGAGGAACATCTCCCGATCTCGTGTGTTTCCAATTTCTTTGTGGCCAGAGAATAATGGGCTAAATCGTTGAATGTCGGAAGTTACCTGGGCGTCGTCTTTGTAGGCTTTAGGAATGTCTTTGATAAAGTACCGTGCGAACGGTTTCCCTTTAAACTTCGGGGATTTGGCGTCCCTGGGAAGATTCTCTCTTGGATCACAGATTTTTCGATGGCCGTAGTATGCGAGTGAAGGTGAATGAAACCTACTCCGAGCCCATTCTTATGACCATTGGAGTTCCACAAGGCTGTTTAAAGTATTCATCATTGATCTTACATCAGAGCTGCGAACGGATTGATCGCTGTATGCTGACCAATTAAATATATGGCGGGTGATGTCCGAACCCTAAGATACTGACCGATTGCAAATGATACTAGACCTGCTGCACAGCTGCTCATTGAAGTGGCGATTGCCCATCGATTACGCGAGATGCCATATCCTCCCAATTGCTGTCTCGTATCCATTTGGTGCATATCACATTGATGCTGTCTTGCTCAGGAACGGTGCATGTGAGAAGGACGTTGGAGTACTTGTATCTTCCGATTTGTGCACAACGCAAGACAACTTGAAGAACGTAACGACTGCTAACAGGATGTTCTGTGCCATAAAATCTTTTTCCCAAATGACCCCAAAGATCTTCCGACTATTTTTTCCTTCGCATGTGCGCTCTGTCCTAGCATACGGTTCACCCGCGATTCATCCTCTTACAAAGACCCAACTTGTTCTGATAGGGCCCAACGGCGAGCATCGAAATTCATCTCAGCGCTCTGGAATTATCCCTACACCCGACGACTTCGGACGATAAAGTTGTTCTCCTTGGATTACCGTCCTCGTCATGGTGATCTGATTTACACCAGACGCATTCTGCGAGGGATGATGGGGAGTGCACTGCAGATGTTCTCTTAGCTTAGGGTTGATAGTTCGACACGGAGTCACTCTTGGAAACTGTTTAAGCCGTCCTCGGCTCCGAGTCCATTTTGATGTCACTTGGTCCATCCATGTGGTGACGGACTGGAACACTTTACCCGTGCCAGTCGTCAGTGCACAGAGTGAGATAGGTTGTAAACGGCTGTTGAACTCTTATCTGCTGAGTAAGCAAGAGTCCGCTGCGATCGTGACGGTGCTTTACGGAGCGACGTATCGCAGATGTCCGCGCTATCTCTGCTCTGAATGGGAATTGTTAGGTCTCCTTTCTGCTCTCTACTCCAATGAACAATGTAGTTATTCATGCTCAAGTTGATGTTGCTTACATCATGCTTCTTCACCGCAGCTGGGCTATACCGAGTAATCCTTAAACTAGATGTTCTTAACCTGGATAAAATGTATTCCACCTAGTTTGCTTTGCTCAGTTCTGTTACTCTGCTGCATATTCCTTGTCAAGCTTGCTTGTTTATTTGCCTTCAAATTATATGTTGGTTATGTGCTACCCACAGTATGGCTGCGCTTAATTTGAATATTGACGATGTGCCTACTTGTCTAACACCCTCCACCTCGGTTACACCTCCAGGAGACTGTGAATCGTAGCTGGGGAGGACGGGGTGCACGGTCCTTATGGTTTTGCTAGGCGCAAAGAGTGGTTACATCCAGTGTAAAGCGCACTACTGCCCATCAAGCGCTTTGTTTACGTCTGGCACGTGCGCTTTCCCAATTAGGCATGAGTGCTGCTGCTGTGCATGTTGAAGAAGTGTGCACCGGCTCCGTTGATGAAACTTGCCTCACGGTTTCATTCCTTCGATTTTTCACTGCATATAGGGTGTGTAATTGGAGCTGTGAGTGGTGCAGCACATGCCACCCACGGTTCCTCTGTAGGCGCAGGCATCCTGTGGTTGTCTCGTTGTGGCTGCATTGACAGGCAAATCCAGAACAGGATGCCGCCAACCATATACATTTTCTTCTGACTATCGAATTCTCCATCTTCCCATTACATCTAGCTGATCGATAACTTTGAAACCCCTTTTGACAATTATTTTGAACAACTCGGACAGTTGTCCCGCTGTAGAAATTGATCGGACCATCTAGTTGGTACGTGTCTCGCACTGTTGTTTTATATCCATTTTGAAGGGACGAGAATAGTTACACCTAGAGCGGAACGCGAAAAACAATCAATCAGTACAGCTCTGTTGGTATATGCTAAGGTTATTTAAATAGTCTATGTACAAAGTGTCTACCATAAGGTTAGAACGATACCGATACGCGAGGCTAACCATTGGGTCCTATTGGAATCCGCAACCTAACAGGAAAAGGCGGTAGCGATTCGAAGCCAAGAACGGTGCGAATGATTGCCTAGCTATTCAACCAGTCGCACACAGGCGAACACAGACAGGCGCCTTATATTCCATGGGTCCATGATAAAACTATTTTAAAGGCATTTTACCATGATACCTCAAACGAACGAGGGAATCGTCGGGTCGCCACATGTTTATTTATTTACTCAATCACAATTCTTTTTTACCATTCGCTAATCAATTAAGCTTTACAGAACGAAATCGTATTTAAACGCTTCTCTTTATGAATGTGTTTTACCATTTTGGTAACATATTCGCAAATTGCTTATTTCTTCATACTTTCTGCACGCTGGCATGGTTTGTACGGCAATTTCACTTATTTATCAAACTAGGTCACTCGAATGGAAGCTGAGTGCCTAACTCAACGTCTTGGCGATCACGTCTACATAGAAACGTCCTCTGTCACTGGGCAGAATATTGAAAAATCTTTCCGAGTGATGGCCGAGTCGGTGTATACCAACGTTATTGCTGGCAAATACGCTATGGTATGTCGTTCATAATGGTTCAAACTTTTGCAGTTCGTATCCTCAGGTTCTCATTTCTCTTCTTTCAACTTCTATGACTTTATGGGCACTGACCTTTCACATGAACTCATCCGCATCATTTTACTCTTCTATGTCCTCTCTGTGTTCACTCCTATCAGTGAATGCTTCTCAAAATTCAATGTTTACTGACAGCCCTAGTTGTAGTACTATGTCCCATGGCTCCCATGTTCTACTAGACAAAGTAACATCTCATTGGTTAATATCGACGCATCGGTATAGAGCTTGGCTACATAACTAGACTTGTTCCAACTCGATTAGCTGAGTTTTTCCACCGCTACTGCATTCTGTGTAAGATTGTGTTTAGTACTTCGTCACGTTTGCGATGGAGCGATATTTCGGACAACGGTACGCTATCAAGTGTGAAATGCGGGAAGTCTGTCACCGAGACATTTGAAGATTTAACGGAAGCCATTCTATGCCACTCTATCTGGAAATGTGGTTTGGATGTGACACAAAGCTTTCACAGAGCGTCTAAAAAATGTTGAAGAGGAATCACTTTTCGGAAGGCCAATTTTGTCAACAAACGAACTAAATGTGGAACTTTTGCGAGTTATGCTGACGAAAGACCGTCTATTGAGTGTCAGGATGATTGCAGAATGCGCTGATTTGGATAAAAATGCAGTTCATACAACAAACAAAGTTCACACGAAACGACTTCGAAAACGGGTACAGCGAACCCGAAGGGACATTGCGGATGATTGGATGCTACACCACGATAACGCGCATAATCACACGGCGCTTACAGTTCAAGAGTTTTTGGCGAAAAGCTTCACACTACCACAACCCTCCTACAGCTCTGATCTGACTTTGTGTGATGTCTGTCTCTTCCCTGAGTTAAAATCTAAATTGTGTGGTCATCATCATGGTACCGTGAAAACATCGAAAAGTTGTAACTGATTAACTAAGCACTCTTGAGGAAAATGACTTCTAGCACTGCTATGATTTGTTAAAAAACGTTGGAACTACTGTGTAACTTTCCAGGGGGTTTATACTTTGAATGGGATAACTTGTAATTTCTGGTGAGTCTTCAATACACTTAAATAAAATGTCAGTACACTTACTTTTGCAACCCAGGGGTATGTCCTGCCCAATAGGAGTGATTAGAAGCCAGTCAAGTTTCCGAGATGCTTACCGGCTTCGATCAGTTTTCAGATTATGGCTGAAATCGGCGGCTGTTGTCCATACTCTAGATACATGTCGGTCTTCCTAGTGATTCCTTTTTGATGTCCCTACCACTTTATCAACGAGGTAGAAAAACGCATCTCGATCAGTGGGGGAAATTATACGCTTGCAGACGATGAACGTGTATTCTTTTTCCTTAGGTTCATATTGGTTTCTCTTTACATGCTCATGGATGGATGAAACTGACCGCTGGCGGATCACTCAGTTCGAAATCCATTCATCTGATAAGCTCATGACTAGTTGGCTTATCCTGGATTCGTGTTCAGCCTTTTCATTGTTCCATTTTTGTAATTCGGCCTCGTATTATGTTTCATGAATAATCCATGGTGTGATACATCTTAGTGTACACCCGGTCATCCGTTTGTTTTGGTGACTTCCCTTTTGACAATGACCGTCGTATGCGAAGTGACGTTGTCGCTGCCTGAGCTCCTGTACTAAACTACTGAGATTATAGCATGATCAGCTCGAGTGTGCGATTATTCTGAAGTGCCTTTAATCATCAGTCAGCACGACGGAGAAACGAAAGTACATTCATGAAGCACGCAAACGAAAATAGACTAGCCTATAATCCTACCTGTCTTGCGATCTCATATAAGCTTGGTTATTTTGGCGACGAAATTTCACGAATCTCTGTCTCGATCATTTTGTTTTGAAGTTGTGGTTACGTACCACTTTTCTCCCTTTCAACCCAGTTCACGACGACGACTTTTCGTTGCTCCGAATGCACCAACAACTTTAACATTAAGAGAACACGAATGATGAACTGAGTCACCCTATCCTGTTTTTAGCGGTGGTTGGTCTGCTCTAGCGTTGAGCCTATGATTTCCCTTCTGCCAATTTTTCTGTTTTGTTCTACCTTTTGCGCTGCGGTTCCTTTAAGAAAAACTTGTTCAATTTACACTTATTTTACACGCGTGACCGGCTCTCCAATGAGAAGCTGTTCAATCTGCCAAACTCCTCTGTCGGTCACATTTGTTAAAACTCACTGGTATCCATAGCGGTTTTTGTGGTTCATTGTTTACTATTTGGTGTCTCCAAGGAATCATACTGTCATAGCTGCATTAATTTTCCTATTATTTGTCCGAATCTTTTGCTTGTACTCCTGTTCGGCATATGGCAACACCTGACTGCTTCATCTTCGGACCCTTCTGCTTCCACTAAGCACTTACGTCCCGTTTTATTCAGATTTTAACAATGATAATTTTCGGTTATGAATAACTAGACGTGTAACATGATGTTCTCCGCATTGCTCATATGAGCGGATAGCTCGAGTTCATTCTCTGCATCTGCCACAATCAATCGCTGTAGAGAAATTGAATCTTGACCAGTACATTTACACTGTATGATTATGTCCTCTGGTTACCATGAATTTCATGCGTGCTTCATCCTTCCTGCGACTTCCTTTCATCCTCTCCACACAGTTGAGCTCTATGAGTGACTGGGATGGGGTGAAAGTGAACCCGAATGCAACTCTGGCCGCGTCTATCGCGAACCAATCTCTACAATTCGACCAGCCGCATGCAGAGACTTCAGGTGGATGTTGTTAGTCGATTCCCCAAGATTTTCACGCAGTCCACTGCGATGACAACTGGAAGCCAAAGGTCGTGTTGTTTTCTGGGTGCGTTTTATGCACAGTGAGGCAGTTTTGTACAGTTCTCGTACTTAACTCCTCCTCTATCCGGGCAATCCGTTGCGAAATAGATTTCCCATACGCTTTCACACGATTTATCCCAGCCCTCTTTTTGTATTTTATTTGAGAAGCTCTAACCCGATATGATAACTTGATACTTTGATTTGCCATGTTTTTTTCTTTTCTGTTTTTATTGTACTTCATTTACCTTTTCGCATTGCAGTACTCAACAATAATTTCCCCCCATTCATCAGTAGTCTCGTAAAGCCCAACTTTGTGACATGGTTGTCTCACACGTTCCGTACAACAGTTCACACATACCACGTATCGTTTAATTCCAGCACGTATTGCAATTTTACAGATTACTTTTGCGGTTATGCTTGGTGTCGCGTTTCATCGTCTTATCGGTTATCTTCATGGAGCCGTGTTCCCTCAAGAAGAAGCAATATTTGATGAGGGTACATAGCCGCGGTCCGCTCACACATTGTGGGGGTATGGTCAGGTCCCCAGGCTTTCACAGACGACTTGAGTCGTTTGATGTCGGACAAACTACTGATTCGATGTGTGTTCATAACGCATCATTGGTTCGTTTGGTCGCTGGATTACTAGCGAATATGCCAATGCGAGGAGTGATATTCGGTATATAGTTGGCTCGTTAAGTACTTATGAGTATGTATTGATTGCGTCACGACATTTCATATTAATCGATCATGTACTTGGCATCCGAGCCTTCGTTTAAACGTATCTATCTGACTCTCAGTAAAACCTGTTATTTTACCGAAAAGACGGTTTGAACCAATTATGTCATTTTGGAATAATTCAGGTCCCTCATGTGTTGCACGTACATACCTCTTTAGTTAGTTCGGTACCTTACTACCAGTGTGGTAGCCGACGTCACTGTCCCCTGATCTAAACTTTCTTAAGTTGACTTATGCATCCGTTTTCGAACTAACTGTATCGTTCCAGTAGCTGTTCTGTCAACACGTTTTTGCACCGAGGCCTTTGTATCTCCAGATTTAGTCACATACAGACCTACTTACTATCGCTCGGTTCGGTTTCGCGAGTCCTTATAACTTTATCTTTCGGACCCTAAAGTAACAACCAAACCACGTTTTAGCTATTTTATATTCATGTCCAACGATAGCTTTCGTAGTTTTATTCGGAAGACTATTCTGAGCTCTAATCAAAACCCACACTAACATTCCTTCTATTCATTGTACAAAATGACAGTTATCAATTTGACCCTCTCTCGCGACGGCTACTGTTGACATTGGATAGTACTTGCCAAGTCACTTTGTTCTGCCTTCATTCTACCCTGATTCATGGCGACTACCTGTCGCCCATCCACTTACCGGTCGGAGAGATAATACGCGCCTAGTGATGTTAACTCGGAAACGTATGACTGGCCTGAACGCGTTGCAAAAACGTCTGACCTCACTGGATCGACGGACGCAGATATCTAACCTTAGAAACCAGTACCGATTGCTTCGCACCGAATAGAGTGGTGCAACTTCGTATTGCGCCTTTATCTTGTATGTCACATTCGTCTGGTTGCTCTATTCCACATCGTTTATTGAGGAGCATTTACAATATATCACCACCTACTGCGGCCATTAATAGTTCGCTCCCCACTTATTAAACATTATTAAACATATCCCCCCACTAGAGTTCGTTTTAAGCAAGTAGAAACGTGAATACATCGGACAGATCAGTACCAAAATCGTCTATTTTTTAACTAGTCTCTGGAACTGGTGTAAGTCACGACTGCAAAAGTTTCTGCTCCTACACTAGGATCAACTACTCGACAAAAAGAACAAACCAATTGTACCGCTTCACCCGTTACCGTTGAAACACCACAGAAATGGCATTATTTGACTGTAAACTCAGCAACACAATTATCTAATAAAATGGGAACAGAATTGAAGGCCTTAAGATCCAAATAATGCTGTGTAATCATTCATATGGCAACTGATACCGCTAACTTATATTCTGGACTCGCCCCTGGATCTGACAACTCCCTGGCTGCTATTGTCATCGAGCTTCATGGAAGGCTCACACGCTCTAATAACTTTGTCGTCTTTACTCTTCCTGTCAGGTACTCACTGATAACTTCAAGCACATACTTTTATCGCCTGTTTTATTTAGTGGCGCGGACTGTGCTGCTTTAAGAAACCGGAAAAGCTCGCGCTAAGGACGTCCGATATCACTAAGATCCAACACCCCGGAGGTTGCCCGATCGTTGGTTAAAAACCGGAATCTAATCTTAACAAATACTGAGTTCCAGTATGCACTGATTAGAGTTGATCAGACTCGATTGAAAAAAAGGAAATATTTTAATAAATCGTGTTGTAACCAAGTCTGAATAGTCACCTTTGTAAACTGATGCTCTCACTAGAGCTTGTCCCCATAATGTTAGTCTCCATGTCAATAAATTATCGCATGCAGATTCTGCCACGGAGGAAATTTCGTGTGTAACCAAACCAGAGGATATTATAGCTTCAACCAAAGCTACGCTCAAAGATGTCACGCAAACTAGCGATGTAAACCAACCATATACGTAAAGTTTAAGTAATCAGCTAACCGATAGCTAGATGCCAAATTTGAAACCTATCAAACCGTTGCTAAAAAGAAGAAACGAGTCCCTTCCGGAGGCGTGTTGGCCCAAGAAACTTCCTTGCTTTAGTTACATCTGCGACATATAAAGACGCAATTCTTCAATCATTTAGGGAACAACTAACTAACGTCAGAGCGGCAGCTGCTCGCTGTAAGAAGACTCCGACCGTCAACTGCAGTGCACCAGGCTGCACTTCCTCGCATAACCTGTTCATCTGACATTAAATCGTTGTACTCCCAAATCAGACCCTGAGACGGCTCACTTCATTTAGTGACCCAATCTTCACATCACCAAAAAACAGTCTATCAAAACCTCTGTGTTTGACACGAAACACGGTAGCATCTGCTGCCTTACCTAGGTCTATCAGTCACGAACATATGCAGTCTTTCACCCGACCACAGCATCTTTTGCCCACGACTTGTACCTGTGTCTATCATCGCCAGAACCCAGTATTACCAGTCTAGTGAATCATCTCTTCTTCATCCAACTTCTGAATCAAGCACAACTGTTCCATTTTCACTGCGGCCTCTGCTCCCCGAGTTTTCCACCATGCAGCAGTAATACCATACCGCTACAACTCATTGAAGTTGAAAATTTGCCACATGAGCTAGGCGTTTTCAAGTTACTTTTCGTAAATACTCGCTCTTCGAGTAATAAAATCCACGCACTGTCTCAAATGATTGCTCTTTCAGCTCCTGATTTACTACTCATCACTGGGAACTGGCGACTCCCACACTCCAGGTGAGTTCTATCAACTAGTTGCCTATTCACCATTCGTGAAAAAGCGTCACGTAGGTAAGGGTGTGGTTTTGTGCTCGAAACCACCTACGTGCTACATCGCTAGTAGACGCTCCACTCAGTATCATACAAGAATCCGTGTGTCCCGTAGAAATAAATTGTTCTCTACTACGAGGGGTTTTCTCCTTATGATACCTTACTTTAAAACACCTCTCCTCGCCTTTTCATTATGTTTCTGGGCTATCCTTCAGTCAAAAAATAACCAGGGGGCATTAATTTACAAAAAGTCTTTTGGATAGAATATACTACACCGTCAGTGCCGTTGAGCTCCGTTTCTGAGGTCCGGGTGCAGGGACGGGTACAAGTGATACGTACACCTGCCATGGAAAACATAATTTGAGACCTGGAAATATTTCGGTGCTGCTTCTCTTCCTCATACTTACCCAAGACAAGAACCCTACGTATGTGGATGTGTTATCTCATTTCCTAAGTATTGATCACATAGTCGTGTACCTCAGTGTCGCGGCACCTGACGCGGCCCCACTCTGCAACACAAGACTGCTGCCACAACCCCATAGGGAATTTAGAAATGTAACCTGGGATACATTTGCTGTACTGCTGCGGAAAGTGAACTGAGATCTGTGCTTTATCACCTGAGATCCGCAGGTTGTAGATGAAACATACATATCCAGCGCTGTCTTGATAGTCTTGCATTAGTCTTATAGAGATCTGGTAGGAGGGTTTCCACGGATACTACGCGCGAAATATGCCTGCCTAAACTGAAAATTCTACACCACAAAATAAAATCAATTCGAGCGATCTTGCTCATCAAACATGATAAGCTATTCGACCAGTTGCAGTCGGTTCTTCCTACAAAGCTGTTAGCAGACGAAAAGGCAGCATTGGCACATGACAATAAATCTGATGTTTTGCTCAAACTGACAAAAGCCAGAAACACTCGAACCAAATCGGTGTCATACATTATGCTGCCTTATGACCAAGAACCCCATCACAATAAGGAACGCCATAAATGAACTTTACTACCTTGTTTACTACCTCAATTAGCACGCTGATGCTTATTGTTCCTGCTGACGTTGGCAAACAGAACACAGTGCAGTTCGATTGCGGCGACATTCGGTTCCACATTGGTCAGCTCCGGTCTTCCTCTCATCCTGGACCTGAAGGTCTACCAAACTCCCTGATTAACTTGATGGGCCAAGATGTATCGCCTTTACTTTTAAATATGTTTACCTCATCTTTGAAGCTGGGGATGTTCCTGAGTAAAAGGAAACTATTATAGTGCTTGGACATGAGAGTTAGTTAAATCATGACATTGCAAATTACCGTCCAATTAGTCGCACCTCAGCTATTTCGAGAATAAAAAGAAAACGGTTAAGTACTTGATTCATTGAATTTGATAAACCCAGCCCAATAAGCGCTCATACCGAACTTGTCAGCCTGCATCTCTACTTAATCTGACAGCATCTATTAACCCTGACAAAGCGGCTTCATTCTCCTCATTGATTTGCCGAAGGCCTTTGAGAGAATACCGTACGACATTCTTCTGGAGTAGTTAACAAATTCCCGAATCGCTGATTCCTTACATGCATGCAGTGCGCTGGCACCGTTCATGGTCGTCCGGTCCTCTGATCACTCACCATATCTTGATGTCATCCGCGAAGAACAGGAAATGGAGACTAATCGATTTTGCTCACTTGTTTCTGAAGACCAAAAATAGACGAAGCCCTCTCATCGAGCATTGAAGTACACCGCCACCTCAATAGGGTCGGACAGGGAATCTCAGCTCCAACCGACGTTCGTGTGGAAAATTGTCCACCCAACCTAGCATTGGGTCGCCTATGCCGTGCTGAAGTTCATGACGGAGAATTCGTTGATCTAATGGATCAAACGCTTTTGAGAAGTCCAAGTAGATTACTTTGACTCCTGTTCCATCTTCAACTGCTTCAGTTCAGCTGTTGCATGTAATTAATAAGTTAGCGGTACATGAGTGTTTTTGACGGAAACCGTGTTGTTCCGGGGTTACTGTGCTATGGTTTCCCGCTACTGCATCAGCGCATCTGCATTGGTTGATTCCAAAACTTTCGAAAGCATAAG